AAATCTCATCTGTTTGCTAATCTGAAATGACCAAGAAATAAAATATTGCTCCCACTCTAGTATTACTAGAGCTGTTTCTAGGACAATGATTTTAACACACCCCTGGATTACAAAGATTAGATCACCTTGATTAGAATTAAATGCTTAGGACTGGATTTATCCCACCTTTCAGTTATTCCTATCAAAAATGGGATATTTAGAGGAGAAGGGAGGATATTGCCAACCTTGTGTTTGACTTCTTCATGCTGTGTCTGCAGCACTTCAAACTGGAATGAATCTCTCATCAGACCATCTTCTGCTCTGCTTCCTGCTGCAGGGAAAAGCCAAAATTTGAAGCACAGGTGATGAATGTGCATCACTGGTGACTCAACACCAAGGTTTTGATATTTGCCATTGCATACATCTGAATATCTTAGTATTTTACTACAATTACAAACAGGTAAACTGCCTCATCCAGCCACCACAGGGACATTGCTAGTGCTTGTGCATCAATTCTTACAGCAGAAGAACCCCTGCCCCTTCAAATTTCTAATTACAGAATGGTTTGGGGTGAAAGGGACCTTAAAGATCAGCTCATATCTTAAACCAGCAAGATGACCCACAGCAAAAGCAAGCATTTCTTTTGAGATAACTTCAGTTAATGCACAAACAAGTGTTCACTGAAAACTTATTCACCAGGAGAGGTGACAGATGTCAAGGTTGCTACAACATACTTAGATTATTCAAGCTCTCAAGGTTCATTGTGAAGAAACCCCTGCTTTCATTTCTTTCAAAGTAAAACTGAAAGTCAGCTGTTAATAGGAGGCATGCTATGCATTTATTAGTGGAAATTAACAGGGGGAAAAACATCTGAAAGCCAACATGCTACCAGAATATGATACCTAAAGCATGCTGAAAGTTTAGGAAAGTCGGGTTTTTTATCTGGCAGGTTTAACATGCAGCACCCTCATCCCAGGCTGGCATTACCGACACACACCCCAGGCACGGGCTCCTGGAGCCGTGAGATCAATGCAATGTTCCTGCTGGGATTATTATTCTCGTTATTCCTCGATCCCAGCCATCCCTGTGACACCGGAGGTACCACCGTGGGGTGCTGCTGCCCAGGGGAACAGGCAGCAGCAATTCCCTTAAGGGAACTTAGAAGAAAGATGGAACAAGTCTATTTACAAGAGCCTGTAGCGACAGAACAAGAGGGAGGGGCTTCACGGTGATGGAGATTTAGGTTGGATATTAGGAAGGAATTCTTCCCTGTGAGGGAGGTGAGGCCCTGGCACAGGTGCCCAGAGAAGCTGTGGCTGCCCCTGGATCCCCGGCAGTGCCCAAGGCCAGGCTGGACACTGGGGCTGGGAGCAGCCTGGGACAGTGGAAGGGGTCCCTGCCATGGCAAGGGTGGCACTGGGTGTGCTTTGAGGTCCCTGCCAACCCAGGCCATCCCAAAGGGACACCAAACCCTGCCGCAGCCGCGGGCAGCGAGGGGCAGCCGCCGGGACACACCGACCTTGCCGCCCGGCCCGGGGCAGCTCCGGGGCTCCCCACGCGTGTCCCGCGGGCGGATCCTGCGACAGCGCCTGCGAGGCCAGGATGTCGATCTGCTCCAGGTCGTCCGCCGTGAAGTCATCGCTGTCCCCGAAGGGGTCCACGACCCCGGTCACGGCGCTCTTGGGGCGCTTGTGCGGGGGAAGGACGTTGCGGAGCGCCGGCGGGGCGGCCGCGGCCCCGCTGTCCCCGCAGAGCGCGGGGCCGCTCCGCTTGCGCGGCCCGGGCAGCGCCGCCATGGCGGGACCGGGACCCGCGGGGCCCACACGCCGCGGGGCCGCCACAGCCACGCCCCCCACCGCGCGCCGCGCCGCCCGCCAATCACCGCCGGGCAGCTCTTCCCTCACAGCCAATGGAGTGGCGGCGGCCTCGGAGCCGGCTGTAAGCGGCCTCGTGATTGGCTGCAGGCAGCCGACACGCAAGCGCCTCGCTGATTGGGAGGGAGGGAGGCGGGAAGGATCGTGCCCTCAGCGGTGTGAGGGGGAGCTGCTGACGTCAGGCTTTCGAGCGATGACGTCAGACTGTTCGGTGACGTCACGGTGAGGATTGTCCCTCTGATGTCACACCTGGCTTCATCCCGGGCACGGTGGCGTCACACCGCAGCTGGAGTGCGGCTGTGACTCGTCCTGTGCAGCCGCAGGCACGAATGCCCTCGATAAACTGAGGTCTCTGAAAGTGTCAGGGAAGTGCGATATTTGCAAAAGTCCCAGCTAAACCCCCTCTGTTAAATTCCTGCCGTTAACCTCTCGTGTAATCGTATTTGGCCCGTTTGTAAATTGAGCGACAAATGGAGTTTCCTGCTCTGTATAACTCAGGTGGGTGTGAGGCCACAGCTATGTTGATAAACCTGTTAAGAGGAGATGAGACCATGGTCTTGCAGCACATTTTAAAAACAGGGTTACAAATTATTTTCATTTCTACAAATCAATTTACAAATCCCTTGATGGTCTTTTAAGTGAAAACCACTGCATCGGTGTGACATATTTCCAATTCTGTTCGAGAATTCTGATTTCTCTTGTTCATTTCCCCATTGCCCATTACATGCAGGGAAATTAGATTATCAGCAGAGAGTAATTTCCTTTATCCCTGCGCTGCATGAGCAGCCTGTGAGGAGCCAGAAAGTTCCAAAGAAAGCCCTGAGGGTCTTTGCTCCCAGCTGTGCTGAAATGGCAGCAGGTGATCCCAATAGAACCATCAGCTGCGATTGCTCAGCTCAGGTGCAAATAAAAGGGGTGGTTTCAGATGGAAACTGCACTTGCAGCACTTTAAGTTTTGCGGTATTGCCTGAAGGTTTTATTTTTGTTTCTCCAAGAAGTTGTTTTGTCAATTATGTGCAAAACTGGAGAAATTATGACGGGTTTGATGCTCTGAACACTAAAGGTGCCATTATTTATGCTTGGAATTTTTGCTTTTCTCCCTCTAGTGGGAATGGTAACATAACGTTTGTCTTTGTAGTCTTGCCATAAAGAAAAGTTTCTTCTTGATTTTAAGAATGGTTTTATCTCTTTATGTTTAAAGAGAGATGCTTTGAGGAGATGGAGTAAAACTAAATTTGTTGTTTAGTTTAAAACCTCTCCTGGTAATTTCTAGTGCTCTGTTTTTACTGCTTATGTTTGTAGAGACATGTATTGAGACCTTAATTTAAGTAATCTAAAAGGAACTGGATTTAGACATTGCTTGTTCCTAATTCTGGATAGATTTTGTTTGGGTGGGCTTTTTTGTTGTTTGGTTGTTTGGGATTTTTTGTTGTTGCTTAAGAAATTAATAGGATTGTGCTAGTATTACTATTTTTTATTATTCCTGCTTTTAAATAATAGTATATTGTTTGAGTGGTATACTGTCAGTTTTACTTTCTCCTCTTCCTCTAGCTGAAGTTGAGGAAAAATAGAATGGTAGAACACTTGCACAGATTTTATTTTTAACAAGATAAACCAAGGTACTGACTTTTTTTTCTCTGTTCCAGGTGTTCCTGCTAAAGAGAAAATTACTTGCAGGGGATTGGAATAACAACAAAGTAAGTCTGAGATGTAGAATTTGCTTTAAGTACAGCTGCTCATGAAACCATTTTTGGGCAGGGGGATAAAGTGACACAGTTGCATATCTGCTGATTTCTCACTTTTCTGTGTCTTGCTTACATTGAGTCTTAAACCTGAAACTCCCTGAGGAGAACACAAGAAACCAAAGCATGAGTTTGGCACTACCTGACAAATGTGGCATCTTTTGATTTTTATAGCCAGAATTTCTTGTTTTATTTGAATATTCCACTTAGGACTAATGGATCCAGGTGTCAGCCCTCAACCCACGTGGGCAGTTTTAGCATTACCATTTGACTCTTGCAATACTTTTAGCTCCCTTTCATTTGCTTGATTAATTAGCTTTCTACTCTTACCATTACTTTAATTTCTCACTTGCAAGTTTAATCCAGGGCCCTTAGTGTCCTGGCTTTGGCAGTATCCTGTTTTACTGACTTTTTACTTAAGAGTAAAATCACTGTGATTACAGGGAATTTGTGCATTTATTCATTTGGGTGCACACATTGTGCAAGGGGGGCTCTTTAGCATCATTTAGCATTGAGGTTAACAACTTGTGTGTGGATTTGGACAGTTCTCAGTGCTGCTAACAGTATTTTATTCTAAATGCTAGCAAGAGTTCTGTAACTCCAATGCAAGTGTTGTTTCTTTGTCCCTTGTTTCAGTAAAGGTGGATGTGAATGTGTTTTGTGTTCTGATTCTCCAAACACTGAGTAAATCAAAACTGAAGTGGGTGACTGAATCAGTCCAGGTACCAGCAGAGATTAATTTTTTTAGTTTAAGTCTTAAAGTATGAGGTACTGAAATTCAAATGGGACTTCGGTGAAAACTTGTTCTAACAAAACAGCATCTTGATCCAGACCTGAGAGTTGGTTAGGAGAGGAGTATTCCAGATTTTGGGCAAATGTCGAGAGTTTCGTTATTTGCTGGTAGAGGGAAAGGAAATCCCGCGCCTCAGGGCTGACCCCGGAGCTGTGTGTTTGAAACGGAGGGGGATGTTAGTCTGTGCTTGTATTGCGTCCTGAGACAAGAGAGGGAAAGGGAACGAGGCAGCGCTGTCTGCCCGTGGTACCGCGGGCGGCGGAGCTGAGGGAGGGACGGGCGGAGCCGCCGCTGGCCCGGGCTGGCGATGAGGGCAGCGCCGAGCGGAGCCGGGAGCGCGGCCGCGCGTCGCACCCGTTAATTCCGTTGGGCTGAATGGGCGCCGGGCCGGGCGGAGCGCCGGGGCCGCGTCCGGCCGGTGCCCCCGAGCGCTGCCCGGCAGGGCGGGCTGTCCGTGTGTCGGGCTGTCCGTGCGTCCGCGCCGGTCCCGCCCCCCCGCGGCCGGCACAACAAACCCGCCCCGTCCCGCCCGCGCCGTGCGGCTGTTGCGCGGAGCCGCCCCCGGCCGCGGGGGCCGGGCCGGGCGGCGCTGGCAGCGGGGCCGGGGCGGACATGAGGACCGAGATCTCCACGGCGGCCGCGTTCGTCACCCGCCTCCTGCGGGCCGCCGGCGGGGTCGGCGAGGAGCAGCTGCGGTGCTTCCGCGAGTGCCTGCAGGAGGCGATGCGCGGTGAGTGCCGGGGGGGCGTCCCCGCTTTCCGTGCCCTCTTTCCGTGCCCTCTTTCCATCCCTCCCCTGCATCCCGCGGGGTCCGGCGGAGCGCAGCCCCGCGCAGAAGCTCCTCTTTGTTCCCTCCCGCAGAGCACTACAGGCACCACTGGTTCCCCCTGGTGCCCTCCAAGGGCTCCGGCTACCGCTGCATCAGGATCAACCATAAGATGGACCCCTTGATAGGAAAGGCGGCGGGGATGATCGGACTGAGCCACGAGAGGCTCTTCCAGCTCTTACCCAGTGAATTAACGCTGTGGGTCGACCCCTTCGAAGTGTCCTATCGCATAGGTGAGGACGGGTCTATCTGTGTGCTGTACGAAAGCCCCCAGCCTGGGGGGAAGGCGGCCAAACAGCTGGAGAGCAGGACCAGCTGCAAGGAGGAGTGGAGGATTGGCAGATCCAGCCCTTCCAAGAGTTACAACATGATGACGGTTTCTAGTTAAAAACAACTCTTCCCTGTACGATGTTGTATGTATCCCAACCTCATGGTAAAGTTAGATGTAACTGAGCTTTTTTTGGTTTTAATTTTTTTTTCACCCTACAGTCATTAAAGTCGTGGTAGTACTGCCAAGTTCTTTGTGGCCAAGGGCTAAATGTATAAAGCAGTTCTTTACACTGCATGTTCCTTTCTGGGCTGTGTCCTGTAAATGCACTGTACAGTTGGTGGATTGTTTTACACATTTATATTTTCGAAAAAGTTCTGCGTATTTGTAATAAAAAGCAATATTGTAGCAATCTTTATGATGGGTTTTAGTCAAAATTAGTACTTGCTAAAAAACAATCTCTAATTTGCAGAGCAGTAACGCAAAGGGGGGTGGGAAACAGATCTAACAAACTGCACGTAAATCTTTCCAGTGATTTGTCTGCACAGACTTCTCTCAGGGTCATTCAAGTTTGACTGTGAGGCACAAATCACAGATATAACTCTTTATTTTTCCCTTTTCAAAGCATGCTTTTATTTGAGGGCTGGGTTCCATCACACCCCAATATTTTAGCAAAAAGAAATGGGGAATGAATTAGTTGTCTGGTTATTTCTAGTTATGGGAGTAGAAAAATAAAGACTTGCTTAAAATGCTTCTGACTTGTTTTGGTGGTGTGCTTTTGTTTGTTTGGGGTTTTGTTTGTTTTGGCTTTTTTTTCCCCAGGCTCTTAACATTGCTCTTAAAGCTTATTCTGTCTATTTCTAATAATTGCAGAAAGCTTTGTAGTTAAAGAGGTGTAGCAGTGAACATCCAGCTTTATTTCAGATCACAACAAAACACTCAGTTTTAGGAAAGCCTGCTGGCTGCCTGTCTTCAGCTGAATAATCTGGGGAGAGCTGGGTGGGGTTTTTGGTACTGAATGGAAGCAAAAGTACTCTTCTAATATTTTGATATATTGCAGGGAAAAAAAAGCTTGAGTTTATAAGGAAATGGAGTTTGGGTTTAAAACTGCAACTTGCACCATGTAGAAAGCTGGAGTGAAAATTATCATCAATGCTGTAACTGCCTTGGCTTTTCTGGAAGGTAAATCCTGCTGTTTCTGGCTTTGAGTTCCTTATTTTTGTCAGGGTCTCTCATACCAGTTGGGTACAAGTTTTAGTGAAGATATCAAACACAGTAGGTTTGATGTAATAACAAAACTTTGTGTTGCTGGTTTATGTGGATACTCTTAGTGTTGATATCCCAGTAAAGGATCTGATTTACAGATATTGTGATTCCTGTTCTAAGAAGCAGTGGTTTCTAATTCAGCCATAGAAGGCTGCCTGGCATTGCTGATTTCTGGAGCCTGGTGTTGGAGCACAGTTAACACTTGATGAAAGGGAGCTTTGTCTGGTGTGAGTATGTCAGCAAAAAACCCCTCCTTGGGCTATGTCAATACCATGGTAGGACACAGAGTGAGAGAAGGGGCAAGTCTGGGCAAACTGGAAAGGGCAGAACTCCAGTTCACAAAGAGGTTTTTTCTTTGTTTGCCTTAGAAAAAGCTGTGGCTTGCTTCTTGCTGTTTCCTTATTATCTTGGAGGCAGGCTTGTCTAGTGGTATTTGTTTAATCTGGGGGAAATGTAGAGTGCCATTTTCTTAGTAATTAAAACTCTGTAAAAATTGACTGTGTGTTTCTAGTCTATCACTCCAATAAATAAGTTTCTGGGTTACTTTAACAAATGGGTGTTAGAGGTCTGGTGGCAAATTGCCTTTTTATGAGATAAGATTGGAAATCGGTTTTCATGACGTTGTTTTATTCTCTTGAGGCAGTAACACTTTCCTTTTCCTCTCTGATGAATATTCAGTGTGGGTAATCCTATTTCATTGGGACCTCTAAGGGATGTATTTGACACATTTGTCAGTAATTGAACAGAATAACTTCAAATCTGCTAAGGGTGAGGTGCCTTCTTTGATTAAATTTCATTTGAAGGGTAATTGGCCTTGCTGCACATTATGTTAACAGCCCACTGGAAAAGATAGGTGTGAAGTCTTTATCTTAACAGGAGGTTTTCCATAGCAGGAGACACTTGAAGTGGAATTGGAGATGACTTGGGAGTCAGGATATGATTTCCAGCTGCTTTGAGGTGAAGGAGGGCACAGCAGGTTCTTCAGTGTCTGTCCATGTGTGAGCAGAGAAGAGCCTGGGCTAACCCAGCCATGCTGGATTCTGCTGCTTTTATTGATCCCTCCCTAAGCCCTGGGATGTTTCAGATGTGATATAATTCCACATCTCCAGTATCCAATGCTCTCTGTAGGTTTGATGTCTATCAATGAATGGGCACTTTAATGCAAGTTAGGTTTCATGTATTTCAGCTACTGGCATAGAGTTGAAGTGACTCTGCAGACAAACAGGTGGGGGACTGCAGACAAACAGGAGGAGCTGAACAAAACCCACTGAAGCAAAGCAAACACTTGAGCTGCAAGTGAACACCCTGTGATATCTGTGCCATCTAGAGCTGCATTCCATTGCTTTAAAAAACGTCACAGATGTACTGACAGCACAAAAGCTGTTCTGAGGGGGAATAGACTGCTTGGTAGTAAACCAGGGAGGCAGTTATTTGGAGGAGGAAAGAAAACCAACTTTGTGTTTTCCCTGAAAGGTGCTAAGTTTTGTGTTCTGCTGTTGCAACAAAAAAGGCAAAATCTTAACATCTTTAAAATGACATACTTGTCACACAAGGCTGACCACAAATCATTGGTCATGGCTTGGGACAGACTGGTTTGGATTCTGCAGGTGGGATTAGTGCATACTTGAAGCAGTAAAAATACATGGAGAAGAAGCAGTACATGCTTCTTTGGGTGAGGAGGGGTTAACTAAAGCTGAAATGGGGGGGGGGGGGAATAGTGCATTTGCCTGTTTCTCCAAAATACTCCAAATTAATTACATAACATTTGTCTGAGAGGTAAAAGAGGTAAAATCCACCTGAGACAGAAGGTCCTGCTAGTTTATACAGCCTGACCACCTCTGTACTGCAGTTATGGTGGATCACCCCCTGACTGGGCCTAAGAGCACAGGGGTGAATGGTTTTGCTGTGAGAACTTCAGGAGATAAGGGGATTGTCTGTACTTGTTTCAGGTTCTGTTACCTTTAGAGCTAGGTGAATTAAAATATGAAATTTTGGATATTTAGGTTTATTTTCTAACCACTGGTCCTCATTTCCTTATTCTCATGATGAAAGGCTTTTTCAGTGTGTAGCACTTTATATTGCCATCAAATTAAGCCTGTTTTTCATATTTAAAGGATTTAAAAGATCAAGCTTTTAAAGTTTGAGCACAAATGATTTTCTTTTAACTGGGATTTACATACATGCTTTTTGCCAACACTTGTTCCATTTTTAATGTGTGCCTGAGAATGTGTTCCCAGGGAATGAGTGCAGTGAACCAACTGATCCAGATCACTCCATTCCCACCACAATTTGCTGCTCACCAGCACTGACAGTGCTGAGCTTCACTTCACTGAGAACAGTGCACAAGTCCTGACAGAATTGCTAAAATCATGCTCAGATTAACTCATTTTTAATTCCTGTAATGTGTTCCTCACTGTTATTTTGTCTAGAATGTCACATGTTTTAGGTGAAGTAAAAAACCTAAATAATGAGTTTGTGATTTCTCACTCAAAGAACAAATCCCAGGTTTTTTTAGTAGTTTATTGTCCAGCTGGGTTGATTTGCATTAATGAAATTGTTCTCCTTTGAATTATACACTTATGATGAAGTGAATTAATCCCTGATAAATTAACCTCCTTTTTACATTTAATCTTGTCTCTTGCAATTATTAGTTGTTATTTTTTTTACATTGGGACACTTACTCTAGAGCAATTTTCTATCTGTTCCCACATACACTGGAAATAGACATTGGGGTCCCACTGATATCCTAAGGCAGTTCTCTTGGGCATTTTCTAGACTTTGTAGTTATGTTTTTCTTTATGAAACCCTAGCATTTATTATTTTATCTGGTCTAGTCATAAGTACATTTCCATTATTTCATTATCCTCGAGCAGTACAAAGTTATCCACATCACCAAATACAGGTAGGCAGTGTTTGCTGATCCCTTTTGTAATTTTACCACCTTCCTCTTTTCAGAACTAGAATTCATTTAAGTGCTGATGTGTCTTAAAAGGTCTTTACCTTTGTGTAACTGGTTTTCTTAGCTATTTGAACCATGGATATTCCTCTCCTCTTTTTAGCTTCCTTCAGATTTTTTTTCAACTTCACAATAATTTGTGTATGTTGGTTTTTTCTGTTTCACCTTGGTTTTCTTTAATTCTGACTGAGCATTTGGATTTAATTTAACTTGTGCCTCCCATTGTCTCAGTGTAGCAGCCCTCAGGTTTCACTTTGGCTGTGTGTGATTCTCCAGGCTGATCCACGTTGCCATGGCAGAGTGGGAACTTTTGTACTCTTGGGTAATAGAGGTGTGCTGATTTCTGACTTATAAAGTTGATACTTATAAATTACTTTTCTCATGGTTCCAGAGTCACTCTTAGTAATATCTAACCTATAGGAGTAATAGACTTATTTATTTTCATGGTTTTCTTGCTGGGGAGTGAATTTATTCCAGTAATAAAAAGTGATATTTTGCCTTCTGTTAGAAGGCTATGTAAAATTTTCATTGAGAAGTAAACTGCTGATTTTAGTTTGTAATTTGGGTAACTTTGGTGGGCAATGTATTTTGAAATGAAATTGCATGGAAGGATCTTTCATCTGTTTGGGAGATTCAGTTGCCCCTGGTTTGCAATCAGCAGGACAATCAACATCTAGAAAGTGTGGGGAGGCAATGAGAGGGCAAATTAAATTGTGATTTGTGACCACCTTGGTATGATCATTGCTTTAAACTACTGGGCTCTGGATTATTGATGGAAATATTTCCATAGCCTCGTTAGCTGTTATGTGGGATGAGTTATTGTTCACAGTGGTTCTTAAAAATCCAAAGAAATAAAAGCTGGAAAAGACAATAAATGTCTGTTCAGCTAAACTAAACAACAAATCAGTCTTAAGTCACTGAAAGACAAAGCTGCAAATATCTGTCTTGATAAAATGATTTCAAAACAGAGAAAGAAGAAGAAATATTCAATCATCAAAATGTTTGATAACGTTTCATGCAAACCTCTAGTGCTAAATAAATACCTGTCTTAGAGAAATAAGTCTGTAATCCTGGAGATATGCCAGGTATGAAAGTTCATCTCAGAAACAAAACACATTTTTAAAAGAAAAATGCATATAGAAAAGTAAATTCAGTCTTTGTAGATGCTATGATGCAGCATGTTTCAATATGAACTTTTTAGAGGGTGAATTCTTATCAACTTTATTTGCAGTTGAGTAGTAGTGAGTACAGTGAATTTGATAAAGCAGTTTTTACTGTGGAGCTGTTGTGCCTGCAGGATGATGTTTGGGGTGAGGCAAACTGGGCCTGAATTGATTGTTTCAATGATCAGTTAGTGACTTTGGCCTCGGGTGACTGATGTTACTTGTGTGGAACTCCCAGGATTTTCTGCTACATGAATGGAGAAATGAACAAGCACAAGAAACTGAGGAAAAAGAAAACACTTCATGATCTGTCTGGGCCCTGGCTGCTGCAGCATTCTGGGCAGTCAGGAGAGAATCCTGCACAGAAGCAAGG